GCCTGGGACAGACATTAGGCTAAGTGGCCTGTAATATCCTGGTGTGTATGTCATCCCCTTTTTCAAAATGGGTGTTAACATTTGCTATTCTCCCATCTTATGGTACAGGGGCTGAATATATTGATAAGTTACATATATGGTTGAGTAGGTCAACAGTCTCGCATTTGAGTTCCCTAAGAACTCTTGGGTGTATGTCATCAGGACCTGGAGACCTGTTGGTTTTCAATTACCCCCCAAAAGGCTAGAGCTTCATATCTTCTCACCTCAATTTGACTCAGGTCTTCAGACCCCCTTCTGAAAACTGGGGCCGTGGCACATGGGTACATACCCCTACACGTTCCACAGTGAACACAGAAGTAAATTTTTTTTATTGAGCTGCTCTGCCATCTCTTCACCTTCCTTTAGCAACCCCTTTGTCATCTAACGGCCTAACTGCTTCCCTGGCTTGGTTTCCTGCTTTGGATACATTTAAAGAAACATTTGTTGTTGATGCTTTTAGCAACCTGCTCCGCAAGTTGTCTTTTTTGCATGCCTAATTACTGACTTGCATTTCTTTTGCCGGAGCTTGCAGTCCTTTTTGTTTGTTCACTTCATCGGGGCAGAACTTTTTAAAAGACGCATTTTGCTTTTCATGGCTACCTTGACTTGCATTGTTAACCATGCAGGCATTCTTCTGGACTTGGCGGGGCCTTTCCTACATCTCTCCCCTGGCCTTGAGCCCCACTTGGAACCAAGTCCAAGATCACTTCTTCCCTGAAAAGCTGAGATGGTGGCCTTTGACTTTCTGCCAGGTGATCTGGATTTTTCTTCCAGGACCATGTTACTAGATTTCCCAAAGGTAGTGGTGCCAACATGCATTATGGCCGCTCCCTCCCTCCCCAGCCATGTTAACCTATCTCCAGATTGTGTGTGATGCCTGCAACTTTTGCACTGGGGAGTCAAAATGCCGGTCACAGACCCTGTTCTCTATATTTAATTAAATCACCCACTGGCAGAAGCCCACCACCCTGAAGAGCCAGTTTGATGTAGTGCTTAGGAGTGCGGACTCTAATCCGGGAGATCCAGGTTTGATTACCCACTCTTCCACATTGCAGCTGCTGGGGTGACCTTGGGTCAGTCACAAGTCCTTTCAGAGCTGTTCTCTCAAGAGCAGTTCTCCAGCGAGCTCTCTCAGCCCCACCTACCTCACAGGGTGTCTGTTGCGGGGAGGGGAAGAGAAAGGAGTTTGTAAGCGGCTCCGAGGTTCCTTTGGGTAGTGAAAGGCGAGGTATCCTCAGTACAAGAGGATATTGGCCCAACATCCAAGAGGGGGTTTCCCTCCTCAGGATCATATTCCTTCTCCTTGGCCTGCCGCCCTCCAACCTCGAGACTCTCACTCTCCATGACTGTCAGTACAAGTGGGCCTGTTGTATCAGGTTCCCAAAGTTCTCGTCCACAAACCTCTCTGCCCCTCAGCTTTTCCAGGTCAGCAACTGTCGCCTACATGTGGCACTCGCTGCAAAACACTGGGTAGCTCCCCACTCCCCTGACGGCGTTCTACCTTCATAACTGCTTTGGTCATTTGAAGATGGTAGTGACAGGGCAGAGCATTTGCCTTAGCATTCAGGGCTAGATTTCCACACAAGGGGGTAGGAGAAGACTGCAGGTATGGCTCACACCTGTCCCTTCCTGCTGCAGGTGCACAGGCTGGAGATGTTCTAAGTGCACCTGGCCAAGTACCCGCCCCCATTTTGTTTGCTGGCACACCCGAATTGTCACAGGTAAGAGTTTCATTTTTCAGCGCTTGTACCAAAAAGGTTGCTGAACCCATTTAGCTCACTGAGCTGGAATCTGCCAGCAGCCTTCTCCGGGGGGTCTTTTAAAGAGATTCCAAGGACTGAATCTGATACTCCAAACTTCAACATCTGGTGGCCTCATTTAGCCTCCAAGCAGCCACATTGGGCCACCCCCACACTTCGCTCCATTCAAGCCCAATAATGCAAACATGAACAAATCCGAGTTAACGTCTCCCAATTTGTTTATTCACATTTCCATGGATTTTGTACATGTCCTTAAAGAGCACTACAGTTAGCAGACATAAGAAAAAGTTACAAGGCAAGGCCATTTTCGGATGGTTTATCTGTTAACATTCTACACGGCCGGAAGAAAAACAAAGCCTATCTTGACAGTAAATGGAGAAGGAATTACGCTAACAGTTCATTAAGCCTTTACAAAAATGTTCTGTGCATCGTAAAAATTAAATGCAATATTAAGAGATACGACTTAGCAACTTCTGCTAAAGTAACTTAAGGCCTCGGAACAGAACAGTCTTCAAAATTTTTGTTTGATACTGCAGAGAGAGCAAGAACTAAGCCTAAATTGCTCTTGATGCCTAGCTACGCATTTCATAAATCCACCCTTTGCCGCAGTTTAAGAGAACGGAGTACATGAAGCCATTTATCTTCCCACCACCAACCTTTTGCTCCAGAGATTACTATGTGAGAGTTTATAGGATGAAAAAAACATTTCGAAGGTTTTTAAAATAGCTGTCTCCCTAGCAAGTTGGGGTTGGGCCTAGGTAAACCTGGGCCTGGGCTGTACCACTTCAGCAGGCCTCCCACAATCTGCATGGAAGAGCATTAAAAGTTTCCTCCACACAGGAAAGTAGACGGGGAGCGCAAGGCTGGAATTCTTCCTGCCACGGTGTGAACGGCCATTCACCTGCACCTTGAAATAGTACGGTCCAGATCCAGAGTTGCCACCCCAGTGAGGAAACAGGCCTTTGCTATTCTAAAAAGCATGTACATGCAGAAGAAACTAGTGGCGTCAGAAGAGTCTAAAGAAGTTAGTCTATTTCGGTTACAACAAAAAATGATTTTTTAAAGTCCTGCAGGAAACTGCAGCCGGACAACAAACAGTAAAGCGGTTAGTTACCCCTACAGCAATAATTTAGGCTCTACAGACACTATCTACAAGACAAGAAGTGATCAGTTTGAAAATGAGCACGCCCCCAGAGCCAAGCACCAGGATCAGCTTGTCATCCAGAAGTGTGCGACATTGCTTTAAACTACATTTTTTTGTGTGCAAACATGATTGTCCAGTTTTGTACAGTCTCACACACCCACGTCTGAAACTCCTGCACCTGTGTCATCGCAAACCACCAAGTCTTACCTTTCAGCGGCGGCAAACTGCACATGCTGCACAACAGAGCCTGAGACGCCTGCCCACGTGCCAAGGACCCATTTGGACTCACTTGGCTCCCTGAAGTCATTGGTGGCACCTGACTTTGAATTGCTAAGCGGCTGGAACAGCGGTCAACTTTTACTTTTAGCACGGGTAAGATTAAAATTCTACATTAAGATACATTAAGTCTAGTTCAAAATACACTAACATGGGAGGGATTTCTGTTGCTGGCAGAAGCCAACAACTGGATGGCGTCTTCCGCCTCAATCCACACATTTCCGCAGGAGGGCACCTCCTGCTGGGGTGTGTGTGTGTGTATTTAAAAACAGGAAAACATTCCAGTAAGTAAACAGTTTGATTAGCTCACAGTATGGCCATTTCAAGATAAATGTCATCTTCACAGGATCCCCCTCAAAATAAGCAACCAACACTAGCCTAGTCCACACAAAGTACTGGGCGGCCACTACTGCTCCCCCTGGCTCATGCCAAAGCATTTAACAAGGCATCACAGGGAAGCAGTGCATGGTTGCAGAAACGTCTCCAGAAGACAGTGATCAGAGTGAAGCCACTGAAGGACCCGGGGTCAGAGAGCTCTTTTGCATAAGTCTAACCTCATCCTGTAAGCGTGCTGCATCTCAACAATTCTGTGTCCCTGCTGGAACATGATTGCATGTTTCTTTTCTGTGACATTTTTAAGCAGCTGCCATTCATGTCCCACAAGCAGCTTTCAGAATTCTAAAGGAACCTCAAGCTGTCTCCAGAGTCCCAGGATTGGCATCTGGGGGCAGGGAGCGGCTGGCGCAAGAGAAGTGAAGATGGTCCATGAAGTCTAGCTCGCAGGTTAAGGACCTTAAGCGGGATCCTTTCCCCACCAACACCAGTTCTTTTTCCAATGTAGTTTTACTGACTTTGGTATATCCACTGAAATCTGGCATTTGCATTGTTTGATAGCAACCAAGTTCCCTAAATTCCCTAAGCAATTCATGAATCGCTTTGGGTTGCTACAGTGTGCATCGTGGCGGCTTGGCAGTTTCCAGCAAAACCGTTCTCAGTTCTGCATTAACATCTCTCGCCCATCCTCAAGTATTTAGTAATAGTTAAAAATCCTTGCAAGTTTTAAGACCACACAGAAAGGAACAAATGCTGGGGGTTTCCCCCCCCAGAAACAGCATCACAGAATACACAGCTATACAAAGGATATTTAAGAAAAGTAACTGGCTCTCACTGAATCAACTTCTTAATCTGCTCAGCAACTGAAGAACCGTTTCACATACACACCTGTCTGCTCTTCAGGAAACACACCAATGCAAGCCAAGACATACCTGTACTGCTCAATCTTGTTGTACAAATGATGTTAAACATGATGAGAATTCAACTGGTTACCCCCTTAATAAAATAACATTTGTCCACTCCCCCAAGTCTCCAGCCACTTGCAGTAAACAGATTGACTGAAGTTTTCAAGACCCTATTTGTTAAAAGTGACCCACATATGGAAGCCCTTGGCCACTCAACCTTTCTCGATCAGCAACATTGTTATAGATACGCACATTCCCACTTATACATGTAAATTAACATTTCTGGTTTCTCACCCATGTTGTACTAAGGGCACAATTCAGTGACGTGAGCCCCACTGAAACGGAAGCTCCCATTTGTCTGAGGCTTGCAGCTACTACAATATGAACACAAGGCGTTCAAACAGCTGTTCAACTACTGATCCTGTTACCCACGCAGCTCTCTTCTGTGGAGGACTGTGCACGCCTGACCCTTGTAATGGGACGCTCCTAGTATAGGCAGCACTTCACAAAATGCACAAAGTAGAATAAAATCCAGAAGCCAGGCGAAATAACCTGCATTGGAATGAACATATTCAGATTATGTTCTCCCTTGACATCTCCAGGGAACGAGGCGTCTCTGGCCTCCAGCCTCCCTTCCCACCCCCCCGAATCCCTGCAATACAGGAGAGATGGTTGTGCCACTGGGGCACAACAACCGGCTTACAAGCACCATGAGAGGACAGTTCTTTGTGAAGAACACTGAAGTCAACGTGCACCCATGTCTGCTGAATGGCAACCTTAAACATCAAGCATTTCCCTGGGAGGCGGCGTTACACTGCTCTGTGTGAAATGTTAGCTACCCCAACAAAACCAAAAGAGCAACTGGAGAGGTAATCACAGTCCAGATTCTGAAATACGTTCCTACAGCAGATTCAATGCCCCCCCCGCCCTCCATTCTTCCTCCACAGCATTTCTGACATCGCCTTCCATCAGCACTTCAGTGTGGTCAGCAGATTTTTCTCCCCCAATTATTTATTTTTATACGCTTTATTATATTCAAGTAAGGCTCATGCATTGGGTGCTTCAGACTACGGAAGGGACGAACGATGGACACACGTTATCAAGTTAAAGCTTTTATTGGCCTCCTTGCTTTCTCTTGCTCTCGCCAGCATTCTTATACCAGTTCTCAGAATGTAAGAGTAGTGAGTGAAGCGACTAATCAGAGTCAAAGGGTAAAAGTGAGTAGCAGCAGCAGCAGTTTGGCAAGTCCTCCTCCTCCTCCCGGCATCCCCCAGGGCCACGGCTTCAGGCCTCCTCCTTCTTCTCCGTCAGGATCTTGTGCAGTTCGTTGGCATCCTCGCTCGTTTTGACCCGGATCAGCATAGGGACAGGGACGGTGGCGTTCTTCTCGTCGATGGGTGGGTTTGGAATGCAGACAACGAGGACGTTGTTCTTCCCTGTCCTTGAGCACGGCATGTTAGGGGGCACCAAAATGTTCAGCAGGATGTTGCCTAGAAGGGTGTAAAGTTCTACTGTGAAAAAATACCAGCCTTGCAAAATTTGTAGAAGCTACAGAGCATTAAAAGATTTAATAAAAGGGCTGGGCGGCTGCTTGAGACAAAGTCTCCAAGGTCTTGGGGCAAAGCCGGTTCCCAGCCTTGCTGCCAAAGGCCCTGTAAGCTGAAAACGTCTTCTGCGTGAGAGACGGTTGCTCTGCCTCTAAGCTACGGGGCCTCCCCCAGAACCCCCTCATTGATTCTCCTATAGTGAAGTGGCTGGCCCCTGTGCAGATCACAAAAGGAGTAAAACCAGCCTAGGCACAGACGGGATGGTGGCCCGACGTACTCGGGAGACTTTCCCGGTGTGCAGAAACATACGGCCTAATTATTAACATTTTTGTTTCACTCATACCATCCCTTTCTCTCCAGTGGGGGCCCAAAGGGGCTTAGATTGTTCTCCTCTCCTCCACTTTATCCTCACAACAACCCTGTGAGGTAGGTTAGGGAGTGTGTGTGTGTGAGTAGCCCAAGGTCACCAAGCAAGCTTCCGGGGCAGAGTGGGGATTCGAACCTGGGTCTCCCCGATCCCATTTCAGTGCTCTGAACTCTACACACACACACTGGTTCTCCAAACAGTCCCCAAAGATCTGACAAAGTCTGAATATGCTTCAGGAGGTGTGGAATGTTAAATCCAGAGAGTTAAAGAGGGAAAGGCCAGCATGGGTGGGGGGAATCGGTCCACTTAAGCCCCTGGGAATTCCGGGACTCCTGGAGAAGTGGGACAGGATTTCCAAGTCGCCCCTCCCTGCCTGGTTCTCACAGACCCACTGTAGTCCCACTCCTGTTCCTAAAGAAGCGGGAATGCCCCCCACGGGAAGGTATGCCGTTTTGAATCAGCACCTTAAAGGGCCAGCATGAATATCTGGTCTGTGAAGATGGAGCCTCAACTCTTGAGGTTAGCAGTTCACCGAACTAGTTCAAAGATAAGACACCTACCTAAATTCGTGTCTGCTCGTACTAACAGCTGAGTCTTCTGATTTCCTGCAGGCTTCAAGTGCAATGTTCCTACACCTTTTTCTTTAAATTCATTGTCTTTCTTGTAGAAGATTTTACATCTGAGGAAACAGAGCATGTATCAGTTAGTAAGTGTAAACGGAGAATGAACCCCTCCAGTAAAACGAAACAGACAGTAAAACCCTCCAACTAGTTTGTTCACATCAGCCGACACCTGTTCGAACTAGCCAGACAAACCCTTCTGGAACAGAATGTCTCAGCTACAATAATTATTTAAAACTCTTTACAATGCACTCAAAACAGCAGTTGGGAACCAACCAAGCATATAACTAGCTCTTATAGGCCAAAGAAACCCTTTGGCCATGTATGCTGCACAACAACTGCCCAAGCAGAGTTTCAAAGAACAGTTTCTGGCATGGCATGAAATGGGCGGGGCTGAGCCAGCAGTTCACAGGGAAAGGGTTGAACATTACACTGGATGCGCACGGCCCTACTATAAGAAACTATCTGGACTTTAGTTAGCACTTTTTACTATGACTGACACCTGTCATAGCTAGCGAGCAATTCCGAAATAGACCACCAAGTACTTGCACTCTAAGGGAAACTATTGTGGAATATCCAGTTCAGTCCATACTGAATACAAAAATACAGACACAGTAGGTAAGGTAATAGTAGTATTTAAATTTTGCTATGCCAATAAAGGTTATCGGAATTGGAAATTGGTTGTTTACATGTGTTCTTACTCCGCAGTAGCATGCATTACAAATCTGATGTTTCTCAAATCCAAAGAGCTACGTCAAACTGTTCTCTCAGAATTAGCACACATACATTTGGTCAAAGCACACAAAACTTACTTCTTTGAGTAGAAGGCGTCATCTTCCTTTATTTCATTAACAACAACTTTTGGTGGCTCCTCCTCCTCCTCTCCTGTAGGAAGAATGCTTTCAGAGCGTATCTGGGAACCTTACTTAAAGTACACTAGTGGAAAGATACCATGCATATACATACACTATGACGTGGAGCATAGGAATGCTAGATGTAAAAATAAAACTGGTAAACCTCCATGATTTGGTAAGACAACTTCCATTATGAATTCTGCTCCTGAACAAAAACAGCATTTCAGAGAGTTTTTTACACTGACTAAACATGTTACTACTTGTGCATTTCCCACTCTTCCCCATCTCATATTAGTGGAACACATCAAACCTGCTACCTAAAGCAGAGGTGTCAAACTCATTTGTTATGAGGGCCGGATCTGACATAAATGAGACCTTGTTGGGCCGGGCCATGTGTGTCATAAAATGTAATGCCAGGTAGTGGAGATATAAACTTTATAAAGGACACAAACACAAAGGGTGTTTTTTTTACTTAAAATAAAAACATGTTTAAAACATTAGCACTCTTTCAATATTTTATTTAACAGTGTCTGATAACTGACACCTCTTCCTCTGAATTATTGCATCAAAATGTCTGTGCTGTTGCAATCTGGAGTATGCTGTTCAGGTGTGTATCTGTAAGCTGCAAACCTATGATGACACAGCAGCAGCAGAACTGGAAGAATAAGCAGAAGACAGCCAGTTCTGCTGCGGGCCTGATAGAAGCCCTCCGGGGGCCTGATTCGGCCCCCAGGCCACATGTTTGACACCACTGACCTAAAGCATTTGAAAACCATCGTAAGAACATAAGAAAAGCCTTTCTGGATCAGATCAATAGTCCATCTAGTCCAGCAACACAGAGTCTGAGGCTTGATTTATTACACTTCTATCCCACCCTCCCGGCCGAAGGTGGCTCAGGGCAACTCTGAATGTGGAGGTTCCCCTCAGCCGCCATGGCTAGTAGTCATTGATAGACTTATCCTCCATGTATCTATTTAATCCCTTTTAAAGCTGTTTATTCCTGTGGCCATCACTGTATCCTCTAGTAGCAAAGCCCACATTTTAATAACCCTCTGTGCAAAGCAGTATTTCATTTTGTCCACTTTCTCCACCCCATTAATAATTTTATAAATCTTGTATCATTTGAGACCCCTAGTGGCTTGAAACTATCTTGAAACCAACTGCAAAAAACTTGCTTAATTTGCACGTTGTTTCTGCTTGCCACCATGTGAAAAGGCAGAAGAGGGCAAGTTTTAGGCAAATCAACACCCACCAGCCCTACTCTCACGTGAAGGAAAGGCACTCAGGTAGAGGGATCCCCCTGGTAGTCTGCCTCTCCCCCACTGTCTGAGTGCAACATTCAACGGCAGCATCTTTTGAATGCAAGATCTTCCTCATCAAGACTCTTAAAACTGTTTCACGTGAAAATGAAAGTTCTGGAAGTCCCCTTGAAGCCAGCAAGGCCTCTGCCTGTTCACAAAGGCCATACCTTCAGCAGCCCTCCTAAGTGACGCGAAGTGGTTGGCACCTTCCTGGTGGTTCATCAGGCACCAAGGAAGTCTTTGCCTCTCTGCACACAAGCAGATCAGTGCAACGGAGCCAGGCGCAAAGGTTGGCGGGGGGGGATATCCACAGCAGTGTTCCCTCTAAGCTGAGTTAGGGTGAGCTAGCTCACAGGTTTTTTAGCCTCCGGCTCACATTTTTGTCTCCGCTCAGGAAGGACGGCTCCAGAGCAAACTAATTTATGCCGTAGCCAAATCGCTCGCTCACAACCTTAATGCCAGTAGCTCACAAAGTAGAATTTTTGCTCACAAGACCACAGTTTAGAGGGAACATTAATCCACAGGTATGCTGGACAATGTAACTTCCCCCCCTAATCCCTTATTTAGCGACTGCCCCTCCCAGCCAGACGACTGCTGACTGCAAATGCACACATGATGTACAGTGGCAGCTTTGGGAACTGGCCAGCATGTTCAGTCACTAGACTGGGAATGGCATGATGCTGGAAAGGAGTCAGCACTGCCCCCAAAGACCTCAAGGCACCTGGTAAAGCAGGCTGCAGACAGACAACCTCAGAACCTCGCTCCCGTGGAGTCCCCTGGGCTGGACTGGAAAGGCAAAGGCAGTGGAGGGGGAATGGTGTGTGGGTGTGTTGGGAGTTAATGTAAGTTGGGGCGGCAAGAAGGATGGAAGGGAAAGGGAGGAGAAAGAATTGGGGGGGGGGAGAAGAGGTAAGGCCGGGGAGAGGATTAAAGGAGGGGAAGCTATGATTGGGGAAAGAAGGGATGCTGTGGAAGGAACAGGAAGAGAGGAGTGTTAATGGGGGAGATCTGAAGGGTGGAAAGGAATGGGACACTCAAGCGGAAGAAAGCAGGGTGACCGGAGGGCTGTTTTGGGGGTGACAAGAGGAATGATCCAGTAAAGGAGGTGGGGCAAAGCAGGGTGGGGATGGAAGAAAAGAAGACTTGTGTGTGTGGGGGGAGAGGTACAGTTCTAGAGCCAATGAAAGAGGAAAACTGGAGTGGGCTGGAAAGGGAGGGAGAACTTGGGAGGTAGGCATGGAATTTTTCTTTGAAAAATTCTCCCCCATTGGCTTGATACTGCTGTTCATAGGTAAAGGTTCCCTTGCTCGAAAGCCAGTCGAATCTGACTCTAGGGTTGCGGCGCTCATCTCCGTTTCAAAGCCGAAGAGCCAGCGCTGTCCGAAGACGTTTCCGTGGTCATGTGGCCGGCATGACTAAACACCAAGGCGCACGGAACGCTGTTACCTTCCCACCGAAGTGGTCCCTATTTATCTACTTGCAATTTCTTGCTTTCAAACTGCTAGGTTGGCAGGAGCTGGAACTAGAGAAGGGAGCTCACTCCGTCATGCGGCACACTTGGGTCTCGAACTGCTGAACTACCGACCTTCCACAGACTGCAGTTCAGCGTCTTAACCACTTGAGCCACCGCAGCTCCATACTGCAGTTCATACATAGCGCTAAATTTAAGGGAATAAGTGGATTTAAGGGATAAGCATTTTGCCGGGGATCCCTCCTATCCAAAGCGTTCACAAGACACCCTTTGCAGGGGCCAATAGATTCAGGTTGGCCATGGCAGACAACCAGCCTGTGTGATCGTCACTGACACCTGATCCCACCCCACCTGAATCCTCTGTCACTTGCAGAAGATTTAACTGATCGTTGTCACTAGGAACCCTATGCATGGACTTCTGTACTCTTCAGGAGACAATAAATATTTGAGAAACTACTAACCACCCAATGGGATCGTATCAATGGGAGCCTCTAGAAGGCAAGGCATAACCAGTCTCTATCTTTTAAAATAGATGTTTACCTTTGTCTTCGTTGCTGGCACTTTCCATCGGTGTCTCTGACGCCTTGCTGGGAAACGAAGGAACGCTGCCCTGGCTTGCATCTTTTCCAAATAAACTCGCGCTCCCAGAAGAGAATGAGAAATTAGGCAACGCGCTAGAATTCAGCCCTGAGCTGTTGACGCTCTTGCCAAAAGTAAACGTGACTGCTGACTTAGAGCCTAGTTTTGGTTCTGGTTTCTTTTCCAATTCCATACTCTTTCCAGGCAAATCCTCAGACTTGTTGCTGCTAAAGAAAAATGGTGAGCTCTGTTGGAGATTTGAACTGCTGAACGTGGGGCCCGGCTGACTTCCGACTGCCTTGTTACTATCGCTTTCCGAGCCGCTGTCACTGCTGATCCCATGTTGCTCTATCTCGGCTAGGTATTTTTCATAGTCTCTGAAGATTGGGCTCAAGTCACAGAGCGGATTGGCATTTACATGCTTTACTATCCAGTCACGCACGGAACAGTTGAGAGCAGCCAGCTGCTTGTGGTAAACATCAGAGCTGCACGCTGGCCTCTGAGTGGATCCCGAGGGCGGCGGCGGCTGACTCTCACCGTTCGTTTCTAGGCTTGCAGGTTTCTTCTCAGCCCCTGGAATATTCATTGAGCCACTGGATACCACAGAGCCTATGAGAAAAAAACCAGCACGTTTGGGTTTTTTTTAGTTGGATTTAAACCCTGCCCTTCACTCGGAGTCTCAGAGCAGCTTCCCTTCCTCTCCCCACAACAGACACCCTGTGAGGTAGGTGGGGCTGAGAGAGCTCTGAGATAACTGCTCTTGAGAGAACAGTGACTGACCCAAGGTCACCCAGCTAGCTGCATATGGAGGAGTGGGGAAATCAAACCTGGCTCTCCAGCTTAAGAGTCCGCCGCTTTTAACCACCACACCAAACTGGCTCTTGGTTAGAAAGAACACAGATATGTGGAAGTCCACCTCCTCCCTTAAGACAGAATTGATTCTTGTTCAAAAGCTGTGTCTAAAAAGTTCACACCAACCTCACTGCCAGTTTATAGGCAGAGAAGAAAAAATGTGCTCATTTTCCAATCCTGTACCCAAGAATTTTTAATCAGTGATGCTGGAGACTCCCTAGTTGCAAAGAACACACTCTGCAACTGAACTACACGCAGCTTCTCCTAACGTGATCCATGCTTACACAAAACCTTGCAACTCCCCTTTTAACCACTGAATGTCTGAAGGGCTTTTAGCACCATTTCTATCAAGGATGAGTTTACCGGTTAACTTACTGGTTAATGTTGTTTGTGTTTCAGCAGCTGCCTTGAAGCTGATCAATGAAGAAGTGTTTGTAACGCTGCTGCTACCATTGGAGAGTCCAAAGGGTTTTGTTCTGGTGCCATTGCCAAAGCCAGAAAACCCAGCAGCTCCAGAAGACAGAGAAAAACCTTTAAAACCTTTAAAAGCTCCTCCACTGTCAGACTGAAAGAGAACATGAAGAGGTTGTTATATATCATTTTACGCAACTCAGCCACTTCTCACCCAATCCTATGCAGATGCACTTAGAACGTCCCACCAAATTACTCATGGCACGCACGGAAGACTACTACAGGTTACTAACCGGTTCCCGGCAAGGTGGGATATAAATTGAAAATAATAAATAAATAAATAACCAGTAACAGAAGGCAAAGGCAGGTTAAATCACCTAATCAGTTCACCTTCATCTAATTACTGTCTTGTATTTATCCATTCCAATAATCTTCTTAATATCCAGTAAATTCCCTCCTCTTGTAAATGCAAACTACCCATTTTCTAAAGAACTCATCACTATTTCTAGTCATACAAAGCGGCAAGAATGGTTTTACCTCCTTTATTCAAGGCAAAGGATGTCTTAGAAAAATAATCAAATCTGGCCCCAGCCCCACAGCCTGGCCCCTCCCACACATTCATCAAGGGATGACTCATTTGAGTCATCATTGGCAAACCACTCTAGACAGAAATTTCGTATCACCCAGCAATAAAACAGTTCAGACATTTGGCTGCTAGAGTAACTGAGTGATAGAGATGCACATGAGAATCAACCAAGGGTCTGCTCAACCCATGATACCCATGATCAGAATTCATCACCCAACCTGAGTCTCCAAGGAAAAGATCACTTGCCTGTACCCCATCCAGGCCACTTCAAAACAATTTCACACCATGAAAGAGTAATCTAGGTTCACACGTAAGTGTGGTTCAGACACAAAGCCAAAACACGAATGAGTTCTACTCATTCATAGGTCCTCTCCTCCCTCCCAGTCAGAGTCAGTGAATGACTTCCAATCTAGAAAAAGCCATCTAACATCTGAACTGCCCAACCTGTTTGCACGAGACCTCTCAAGGCCACCAGGGGGAGGAGGAGGAGGGAGGGAGTGCAGCGCAGGTCGAGGAGGAGGAGGGAGGGAGTGCAGCGCAGCGCAGGTTGCCACAGAAAGTCCTCATGTAAAACAAAGTCACGATTTGCTGGCAGTCCTGGTCCACAGAGCGGTTACCTTCCAACTCAACCAAGTGCTAAGTCATCAGCAATAAAACCAGTTTTAAAGAACACTGGAAATATTTAAATCTTACTTCATAAATACTGGCTTTTAACCCTGACTTTACGCACAATCGAAAGCCTGCTAGGAGCAGAGTCAAGCAATTTTATAGGGCCTTATTTTAAAGGCAACAGTTTTCGGACAAAAATGAGCATAGGGTAGGGCTGTGGCAAATTAATGAATGCTTACTAGAATATCTTCTTGCAAGCTTACTATAACTACATGCATGAGTGGAGGTAGAAAAACAGTTCCTGCCATCCTGGTTATTTGGGCCACTTGCTGGCCACTTTAAGAACATAAGAGAAGCCAATGCTGGAACAGGCCAATGGCCCATCCAGTCCAATACTCTGTCACACAGTGGCCAAAAATACCAGGTGCCATCAGGAGGTCCACTGGGGGGGCCAAGACACTAGGAGCCCTCCCACTGTTGACCCCCCCAAGCACCAAGAAGACAGAGCATCCCTTGCCCCAGAGTCCCTATCTATACCTTGTGGTTAAGAGCCACTGATGGACCTCTGCTCCATATGTTTATCCAATTCCCTCTTGAAGCTGTCCATGCTTGTAGCCACCGCCACCTCCTGTGGCAGTGAATCCCACATGTTCATTACTTTGTGTGAAGAAGTACTTCCTTTTATCTGTTCTAACTCGACGTAATTTCATGGAGTGCCCACAAGTTCTTGTATTGTGAGAAAGTGAGAAAAGTACTTCTTTCTCTACCTGCTGCTCTATCCCCATGCATACCCTTGTAAATCTCTGTCATGCCACCCCTCAGCCGTCATTTCTCCAAGCTAAAGAGCCCTAAGCGCTTTAACCTTTCTTCATAGGGAAAGTGTTCCAACCCTTTTATCATTCTAATTGCCCTTTTCTGCACTTTTTCCAATGCTATAATATCCTTTTTGAGGTGTGGTGACCAGAATTGTACACAATATTCCAAATGAGGTTGCACCATTGATTTATACAGGAGCATTATGATACTGGCTGATTTGTTTTCAGTTCCCTTCCTAATAATCCCTAGCATAGTATTGGCCTTTTTTATTGCAGTCGCACACTGTTTTGACATTTTCATTGAGTTATCTACTACGACTCCCAAGATCTCTCTCTTGGTCAGTCTCCGCCACCTTCCAATACATCACACGCTTTGAACGCTGGCTGGCCACAGTTAACTGGCACTTGAGTGGCAGCAAAGGACAGAAAGGAGGCGTGTCCCCATTCCTGGCTCTCAGAAAGGAAATGGTGGAAGAAACCTGCTGGGAATTCTTCTGCCCTTGCCCTCTTGAAATACTTTCCATGCCATCTTATGTTTTGCTCCCAAAATGAGTTTCCTACATGCAAGTACCATACATTTGAGGTACAAAGTTCTCACCCTTTTCAGTTACATACCCAGATCGATATGGGCATTTTCTTTAGTACTATAGACTATAGTAAACACAAGTACTGGGTACTACCTTATTTGCAAGACATGCAAAATAGCCTAAGCAAAGAGAACACTTTTAAAAAAGAATTTTATTCATATACCTCTAATCCCATATTTCTACGCTTTGCCTTCTTAATTGCTCGGTTCTTCAAAACGTCATCACTGGCCATTGAGAAAGTTCCCATCTGCAGGGAAATGTTAAGATTCTTAGGAAAAGCAACATAAAATATATCCTGGAAAAGCATATTGGGCAGAATCTAAGGCACAGGGCTTGGCTGCCCCCCCCCCGAAAAACTATTCCTAAAAATTGAAGGAAGCCTCTTCATCAGACCACAAAGCACTACAGTCAGAAACAATGCTCTCTATAAGCTGTGGAGTCTTGTGAGCAAAAATCCTACTTTGTGAGCTACTGGAATTAAAGTTGTGAGCAAGCGATTTGGCTGCTGCAAAAATTAGTTTGCTCTGGAGCCATCCGTCCTGAGCTAAGACAAAACTGTGTGAGCTGGAGGCGGGAAAAAAAAAAGGTTGCTTACCAGTAACTGGTGATCTTCGAGCGGTCATCTGTGCATTCACACCAATGGGATCTAGTGCGCACGCGCTGGATCGATCGGTGCTGTAAGCAAGCTCTTTTAACGGATTTTCACGCCCAGTCCCTCGGGCATGCGCAGGAACCCCACCGCATATGCCCAGAGGGGTGGGTGCGGACATCCTGCCAGTTCCTACAAACCGCTGCAAATCAACCCCTATTCAAAATGTAGAAGCTGACAGCAGCGGGGAAGGAGGGCGGGTGGTGTGAATGCACAGATGACCACTCGAAGATCACCAGTTACTGGTAAGCAACCTGTTTATCTTCGATGTGGTCTCTGTGCTTCACACCCATGGGAGATTAGCGAGTAGTAGCCTACCTGGAGGAGGGTGCTGGCAGGACTATTATTGCGTAGTCGAAGATAAAACGCGATGTCCCATGTTGGTATTGGAGTTCTTTCGGACGTCTAGGGCATAGTGCCTGATGAAGGTGTTGGGCGTGGCCCAGGTAGCGGCTTTGCAAATGTCCGGCAGTGGTATTCCCTGAAGGAAAGCAGTGGAAGTCGCGACAGCCCTGGTAGAATGAGCCCTGA